GATTCTGATAAAATATCTGGGACACCGGGCCTCGTTCAAGTTTGGCCTCCAATTGTTTTTTGAAGTACGAGAATTGGCTTTCCCGTTTAAGAGAAATCGGATGTTGTCTGTGTCTCTAAACAAAAACCCAGCGGTGGGACAAATGTATGTCTCACTGTTGAAATGTGCTTTGGCGACAAATTGTGGTGCAGAGGCCATTGCGTAGAATTCTTTGAAGGTTTGAAGTTTGGAATGTTTGAATTTTATGAGTGATTCGAAGGTTGGAATGTTTGAAGTTTATTGATTGTATGAAGGTTTGAATGTTGTAAGGTTTGAAGGTTTGAATGTTTGAACTTTATGAGTTATTCGAAAGTTTATATGTTTGATTGTTTGAAGGTTTGAAGGTTTGATTGTAAGAACGTTTGAAGGTTGGAAGATTTGACAGATTATGTGAATCAATGTTATGATAAACGTAAGACTAAAAATTTCAACTAAGTAAGGATGCAACCCCCAAGGCTGCCAATAGTGTTACATGCAGGGCATCCCAAAGGCTGTCACGTAGCCTGAGCCTAGCCTGCAACAAAGGACACCTCTTATTCGCCAATTGGGGTAGCGAAACCATTCATTTTTGTACTCTTTCGCCAAGTCCAATGACGCCTCCCTTACTGTCCAATCGTGATACATGCATGCAGATATGTAACCCCTAGGCTGCCACCTAGCCTGCGCCTACTCTGCACCTATACTGTATGTTGTAAGTCTCCTCCCATCACCTCCAATGGGGTTACATGCATTCAGGCAAGACATCCCAAAGGTTGTCACGTAGCCTGAGCCTAGCTTGCAACAAATGACACCTCTTATTCGCCAATTGGGGTGGCAACACCATTCATTTTTGTACTCTTTCGCCAAGTCCAATGGCGCCTCCCATACTGTCCAATCGTGATACATGCATGCAGATATGTAACCCCCTAGGCTGTCACCTAGTCTGCGCCTACTCTGCACCTATACTGTATGTTGTAAGTCTCCTCCCATCACCTCCAATGGGGTTACATGCATTCAGGCAAGGCATCCCAAAGGCTATCACGTAGCCTGAGCCTAGCCTGCAACAAAGGACACCTCTTATTTGCCAATTGGGATGGCGACACCATTCATTTTTGTACTATTTCGCCAAGTCCAACGGCACCTCCCTTACTGTCCAATCGTGATACATGCATGCAGATATGTAACCCCCTAGGCTGCCACCTAGCCTGCGCCTACTATGCACCTATACTGTATGTTGTAAGTCTCCTCCCATCACCTCCAATGGGGTTACATGCATTCAGGCAAGGCATCCTAAAGGCTGTCACGTAGCCTGAGCCTAGCCTGCAACCAAGGACACCTCTTATTCGCCAATTGGGGTGGCGACACCATTCATTTTTGTACTCTTTCGCCAAGTCCAATGGCGCCCCCTTACTGTCCAATCGTGATACATCCTTAGGCTGCCACCTAGCCTGCAAGAGTGACACCTTTCATTTTTTGTACATGCATGCATATATGTAACCCCCTAGGCTGCCACCTAGCCTGCAAGAGTGACACTTCGCATGCATGCAAGCACCAGCAACCACTATATGAAATTTTTTTGCCTATAAATACATACCATATCATACATCTCTCACACCCACACAAGTCTCACTTTCTGCTACGAAATCTTTCATAATCTCTTACACTTTCTAAGTCTTTCATACTCTCTATCTCTTCCTAAGTCTTTCATAATCTCAAGCATTTTAAACAATGGCTCTTCTAACAATGGGCGATTCTCACAGAGGCACAAGGGAAAACATTGCCGCATTTGTAAGTTTCTATTTTGGTTATACATTTTTCATACTTCAGATAATGCTTTGTTCGTCTTACTTAATCTTACACCTTTTACATTATGAACTTAGGACACAAAAAGATTCAGAATCCGTTCTCACAACTACCTGGCTCCCGACCCATTTATCGTACCATATCTGGAATACGCAGGTTTTGGACATGTCATAAAGATCTCCAACTGAACCATTGACTCGAAGTTCATTCTTGCAATGTTGGAAAGGTGGAGACCAGAGACCCATACATTTCACCTACCAATAGGTGAATGTACCATCATGCTAGAGCATGTGTACATGCTACTAGGTCTCCCTGTCGACGGTAAGGCCGTGAGCGGGTTAGTTCAACAACCTAACTCTCAGTGTGAAGAACTGTTGGGCAGGGATATAGTTGAAGGTAGTGGTGCGAGAGGTCAGGGAATACTACTCACTGAGCTGAAAAGTCATTATGCAAGTTTGGAATTAAACGAAAATTCCTCCGAGCAAGACAGGGTAGTAAAAGCCAGAACTTATCTTATGATACTATTTGGTACCTTTTTATTTCCCGAAAGTACGGGAAATAGTGTAAATTTTATGTATTTACATTTACTAAGAAACTTTGAAAAAACAAGAAAATATAGTTGGGGTTCTGCAGTTTTAGCCCACCTATACAGTTCCTTGTGCAAAAATGCAGTCAAGGAAAAATGTATATTTTATGGATGCGTTTTTTTACTACAAGCCTGGGGTTGGTGGAGGATGGAGTCCTTAAACCCCGTCAACAACAACACTTTCGGTTTCCCGTACGCAACAAAGTAAGTCATCAAGTTATATCATTTATTACTATTCATCTCTTCACCAAATATATGCTAAGAATAAAATGTTTTTCATTTCCTTTAGGTACTGCGTGAGGGGTATGAATTACAGCAAGAATCCAAGATTCAATGTCGCACTATACCGCAATCTGTTGGATCACTTAGGCCCGGATGACGTACGTCGTAGCTTTTAACTTTTCTTCATTTAAATTATTTATACATTACTTTTGCGTTAACCTGATTTAAATTTTATCGCAGTTCGTCTGGAGACCATATTTGGGTTTGGGCCATGATCCAAACCTGGAGGATGCAGCAACTTAGACCACGAAGACTGCAATCATTCGGTTCAACATTGTGGAGATGCACCACAGCGACCGTGTGAAGATGCAGTTCGGAATGCATCAAGAGATACCAAGTGATCCAACTTGTTTGTCCCCATGGCATCTTAAAAGGGTCGACGCCCAGTGGGGTCTTACCAATTGGAAAGACTTCGCTCCGGAATGGTGTAAGATGTGGCAGAGGCGTCACCGCTATGTCTTGCAATTCCCGGTTTTCCTTAATCAAGGTAATATGCGACACACGGATTAATATTTGTCTTGGTACAGGTCGATTAGTAACCCTGAAATGCACGTGTCTCATCCAAGGTACTTGGTTGACCCACGCACACAATGGGCACAACCCTCGTTTCCCCAACAACAAATCCAAAACCCATCAACCTCCCACCAACCCCCAAGAAGAAACAGACCCACAAACACCTAACCACAGTCCCCACCACAACACAATTACACTCAAATGCCACACAACCAACCACAATCACCACCACATTACCAATACCCCGATATGCCTCACACCCAACCACAATACCAGCACACCCGCATACCCCACACACAATTTCAGTCTTCCGTATATCCCAATATGGGCCCCTTAACATCCAGCCTTAACCCTGATATGGGAATGTCGGAAGATTACGAACAAACCGACCCAACCTACCATCAACCACAATATCACCAAACCACCCAACATCCTCAATACCAAACACCCCTAGATCCATTTTCTTTCTACCCACCGTACTCAGACGATCAATGCTACAGACCCACCATGGAACCCCACCCACCGCCAACACGACCAAATTTTGAGGGTATGGGTAACCGACTGTACCAAAGCGGATCTTCTAGATATGGAGATCTGACTGATTTTATGGATTCAGACCGCATTGACTTCGCTGGGCCATCGACCCTGCCGCAGCAGGAAACGCGACGACACCTAGCACGAGAAAGACGAGGACGGGGATACGCAACCGAGGGTCATTACCGGGTTTCAGGGGATCACTGATTTATCTGTTTTTTTTCCCTGTATTCTTTTATCCGTTTTTTTTATCTGTTTTTTTTATCTATTATTTTAATGTAATACAGTTGGATGTAATTATTATTTTTTAAATAAAAAGTCCATTTTGTTGATTCTGTATCCAACACGCAACGCACCGGACAAAAAAAAATAAATCAAATTTTGCCCTAAAATAACACCTGGGCGCCATCTCACTTGGCTTAGGGCATGCCCTAAGCACATAGACGCCAAGTGAGATGGCACCTCCCCTTAAAAAATGGGTGCATGCGCCAATTCAGATGGCTCCTCCTTTGGGAAGTCATCTGAAACATGGTTATTTGCGTAATTTTTTCCGAAACGCGGTTATTTATGATTTTTTTTTTAATATATGGTTATTTAAAAAAAAAATTCACATACGGGTGTTCTTGTATTATTCAATTAAAAAAATAAAAATTTGAATGCATATGAAAAGTGAAGATATAGACAAAATAATACTCCACTTCACGTAAACGATATTTTGGATGAAAACTAATCCGAACCTAAAGTCAAACCCTCTTTAGACAAACTTCACAAATAATCCATCAATGAACCCACCACTCACACGAAGTCTCTCATGCTAGAAATTATAAACAATACTCTATTGTACACTGTACGATGATGTTGGAGGTTTAGTTTTTGTTTTACAGAGGAAAAAAAAACATTTTTTGAGATAGGAAATTACTGAGACAGACAGACATCGAAAGCCAAAACAAAAACACCCGGTTTTGGATAATAACCTTAATCTCTCCGAGATCCCATTTCAACTTCAATCAATTGGCTCATACCAAACCCCATATAGGTTTCTCCTCAAAAGTCATCATTTTTTCATCTGGGTCAACTTTCTTCATTGACTCACATGCTCACATAGCTAAAAGCTTCAATTTTTTGAAGTTTTCGTAGGATTTAATCATCTGGGTCGTTGTGATTTGCTTCGATTGATGAGATAATCATCTGGGTTTCTCTCTGATTGCATAAAGGAAGAATTTTTATTGAAAGGGTTTGAAGGGATTTTGTTTTTTGATGAGATATGGATGAGCATGTAGCAGCTTTGCACACTGCTACTAACGCTTTGCAGGCATTAGGAAGGGGTTTTGATGTTAATTTTGATACTAGGTTGCTTTATTGTAAAGGTGTTTCAGGTTCTAGGGTGGTTGAGATTGATGAACAGTTTCAAAGGGATTTGTGTTTGTATGATGATGTTGTTGTTCCCAAGGTTTCAAGGGATATTAGAGCCTTTGGTGAATCTATGGGAAGGCAGAGTTCTGGTGTCTGCAGTTTTCAAGAGGTAAAATTTGAGATTGAAAATTTTATTTTTCTTGTTTTGTGGAAAATATTGTGTTTGACTTGGTGAATGTTGTTTTTGTGTTTGTGTTTAGGAAATTTTGTGGAATAATTGTGTTTAGTTGTTTGGATTAGTGTAGAGGGTTAGTGTCTTTTTGTGTGGTGAAGAAAAAAATGGTGTTGGTGAATGAAATTGAATGTTCACAATGGATATGTAGAAACACCAAAGTGATATTCTTAAGGATGAATTTGTTTCTCTCTTTGTATAATTTTCCGTACGGGAACCAGAAATGTGTAATGATTTCTTGATGCAGCGGAGAGGATGCTTACCTGCAAAATTAGCACTCCAACCGTTAAGTTAGTTTCTGAGTGAAAAGTAGTATGAGAGTAAATTTTGGTTAGAACATACTTTAGGTCTTGCGTGAGATTTCTTATATATGAGGATATGAGAAATGGTTACAGATCCCCTTGCTTTTAGGAGTATTATGCGGGGAATTGATGGATGACATCCACTGGCGAAGGACAATCCGTGGTGTGGATTGAATACGGTCCTGGAGGTTGTGTATGCACTTAGCCTCCAACGCCTTATGACTTTGGATTGATGATTGGGCCTTTCCCTTGTTGGGCCTCTTGCCGGCCCGAAACATATAATATGTGTTTTGTATATTAATTGTGAGAGGAGCTACCTTATGTTAGATATCCTTTGCCATTTTGAGTGTTGTCGAATGGAGGCTATAGCGGCGCTATAGCAATGTGGCATAATAGTACATGAACAAATTGCTGTTTTTCGCGATTACCTGCGATTAACAATAGTAATGGAGAAGTTATATGAAAGAGCTTATGAAAGCTAGGTGTTGGAAACTTTTTTGTTTCTTCATAGTTTCTCAAACATGTGATTGTTCATTTGATATTTGATTGCAGATGGTAGATTATTTCAATCATAAGGCAGATATACCCGGGAGTAATCCTCTCGGGAGCTTCAACTCTGCATTTAGCTTTACTGGTTCAAAACATGTTGATGCTGCAGCTACAAAAACCTTGTCTTCTGACATGTTTTACATTCCCCTTGCAAAGGTTCAGCTTCAAAAATCGAACTTAACGTTGCAAGAAAATGTCAAAAGGGCTATCCCGATCAATTGGGATCCACCTTCCTTGGCAAGGTAATTTATGTTTATACAAGTTATCAACATATTATTGTAACAACCTATGAAGCACCGACACGGATAATAAACATCACATTGACACTGGTATGTTGACATCGTAATTATTTGAAAGGGGAGGTGATTAAGTGTAACCTCGTGATTGCGTTGCGTCAGTGTCCTGATAGACACGTGTCTGACACAAGACACCTTTAACTTGAAATCAACACCTTTAGATGGTCCCTGACTTTTTTTATTACGTTTTTGACAGCTTCATTGAAACTTTTGGGACACATATCATTACATCGATAACTATTGGCGGTAAAGATGTTATATACGTCAAGCAACACCACACTTCACCTTTTTCAAAGTTGGAAATAAAAAATTATATTCAGGATATTGGAAATCAAAGGTTCTCTGACATCAATAGCCACACAAGTTCAGGTCAAACAAAATCCAAGGATAAGGCTAGTTCACCAAAATTCAACATTCCACTATTCTCGCATAAATTCATAGTATTCAGATTCTATATGGCATGATATATAACACTTGGTTATATCTATTTCATTATTTCCAGGGCGTTGAACCGTTTTCATTCAATAGCCAAGGGATTTACCCTCAACCTACAACTGCAACATATTATACCGGGAAAGAAGTATGAAAAATATCTCATGACATTTTATATATAAGAATTTTTCCTGCTCTTAACACTAACGAATACTTCTTGTTCAGGATGTCACAGTCATATTTAGAAGAAGAGGAGGTGACGATTTGGAACAAAACCACCGTGTATGGTTAACAACCGTCAAGTCCTCCCCCGATATAATAGAGATGGCTTTCTGTCCCATAACAGATCTCCTTGACGATATACCGGTCAAGGAGCATTTGACTCGCACAATTGGTCTTTATCTTGAATGTAAGTCAACTTATCCTTTATGCTAGATGATTTCAGGCCTGATATGGATTGACTTATTTGAACTTATCCATGACCTCAATATTTGTGACGTTAGACTGTTTTGAGAGCATATAGAAGCAGTTTTTGTGCTTATATAAAAGTAGTTTGGCTTTATTAATTTATCTTTTGTTATAGAAATAGCTTATACATTAGCGCGTTACATTATTTATCAAAACAACACTTAGATTTTGTTTTTCTTATTGGCATCTAGGAGTGTGATCTAATATTAATTCCACATTTCTTTATATTGAATGTTGTGCTCAGATAAACCTCCAATTGAAGAACTTAGATACTTCCTAGAGTTTCAGATTCTCCGTGTTTGGGCTCCTTTACATGACAGGGTTGCCGGTCAACAACGGAAGGAACCTGTTTGCCCGTCTTTACAATTCAGCATAATGGGACAAAAGCTATATGTCAGTCAAGAACAGGTATATGATCATTTGTGGCATTTTCCGTACTTTTGAAACATTTTTTGAAGCCATATTCGATGTATTTACGGTTTCTTTGCAGATTACAGTTGGACGTAGACCAGTAACCGGCTTACGTCTCTGTCTCGAAGGAAGCAAACAGAATCGGCTGAGTGTGCATATTCAACACTTGGTATCCCTTCCAAAGATTCTCCAGCCATATTGGGACAGCCATGTAGCTATTGGTGCTCCGAAGTGGCAGGGACCCGAGGAACAAGATAGCCGGTGGTTTGAACCGGTTAAGTGGAAGAATTTTTCTCACGTCAGCACCGCGCCTATCGAGAATCCAGAAACCTTCATTGGAGACTTCTCCGGCGTCTTCATAGTCACTGGAGCACAGCTTGGAGTATGGGATTTCGGATCACGGAACGTCCTTTACATTAAGCTCTTATATTCAAGGTTACCCGGTTGCACCATCAGAAGATCACTTTGGGATCACGTACCGAACACACCGCAAAAAACTGCAATTTCCGGAAACTCTTCGAATGCAGCCAACACAACGAGCTCAGGTTTGAGAGAAAACAACGCCACAACGAACAAGTTAGCGAAGTACGTTGATTTGTCCGAAATGAGCAAAGGACCTGAAGATCCTCCTGGTCACTGGTTAGTTACTGGCGGAAAGCTCGGTGTCGAAAAAGGGAAAATCGTTTTGCGGTTGAAATACTCATTGCTTAATTACTGAATACACACCAGAGCAATGTTTTAGATAAGCATAGTTTAGATTTCTCTTGTGGTTAATGTGAAAACCATTTTCCAGTTTGATGAAATGAGTTGAATAGGAAACTTTTATATGGTGATATCTCATAGGTGTTACTTAGAACCATTTTCAAACCATGCTAAGTTAAAGTAATGTTAATATTGTTATAGTACTATTGAGAATACAAAATGACACTGTTCTTTATTTTCTTTCTGTTATACTCGGGGGTTTTCCTTAACCATTTGTGCATCTATTTACATACGTTTATGCAGCTCAGTGTGCTTGAGTAACAATACAACTTTTTAGTTTTTGAACTAATATGATTCTAGTTCTGCAAAACTACAAACTTTCAAGTTTAATTTATGCTATGATATTGTAATTTTTTAAAAATAGTTTCCTATTAAAACTTTTATTTATTAAAAGTGTAGTTTTAAGTTTTAAAGTAGTTTTATATAAAATGCAAATCTATTATAAATATATATACATAAAAGTATCGGATAATTAAACTCTAATCCTTTTGATTAAAAGTTTTAATTTGACTAATTGCAAGAGTAAAACCGTCTTATCAATTATTAAATCTCTTTACATTAATTTAGTATTAAATACAGTTTATTTGAGATTTTTTATTGGCATTTTATAATTATTTTATTTTTTTCAACCTACTTTACAATATCCTAATTACTTAATGTACCAGTTGAAACGATGCCTCGTGTTATCCCTCCATGTATCAATAACATAACACTTGTAATCCCAATGCAAAATCATTGATGTTCAGCCATAAACATCACAACTTTCAACATGGAGAAATACACACCCTTTCAACTTTCGGTATTTTCCAACCTAATCATAAATATACGATTTGTTTTTCTACAAACCCTAAGTCATTCCTTCTCCAATCTTCAAGTTTTCAATATTCAAGTAGTCGTAGCTGCAACCATATACCGTTTCTCTGTTTCTGTTTATTTTGAATATGTTGTCCTGTTCGTTTATTTGCATCATATTATCTGCAGTTTCAACAACAAATTCATCTATGAGTTTTGTTAAACTATTTAGGTTAAATGCTTCATATGATGTTCAATCATTTAATTCCTAATAATGCATTCTTCGTAACGTTATTATAATCTGTGCGTCTTATCGTTCAAATGCTTTATATGATTCTAATTTTTTCCTATTGTTCTTACAGGTTATATCATCACCTATGACTCGTCCAATTGAAGCAGTAAAGGATATCAATGAGTTAAAGGATTTATGGAAGATCGCTGTTAGGTGCAAACATCTATGGACTGTGACGAGTGCTTCGAAAAAGGAACATATTGAGATATTTTGGTTGATTCTAAGGTATGAGGGCAATGTTTATGTTCGTAGTTTGTATTTGCAGTGTTATTATCTGTAATAATAACTTTTTATGTTCGTTTATTGTAGCGAGATATGATTCAAGTCATTGTACCACCCTTTTTGGTTTCGAAATTCAAGGAACATCTCGCTGTTGGAAGTTTATACATAATGCAGAATTTCAAAGTATCAAACAAAAATTTATCTTTTAAGTCCACTAATCGTAGTTGCAAATTGGTGTTATGTGGATAAACTTCGGTTAAGAAGGCAGAACTCCCTGATATTCCTATGAATTACCTAAACATACTTGGATTAGATGCCATTGTTGAGGGAAAATTTCAGTATAATATTTTGGTTGGTATGTTATTAATGATTTTATTTTAATTTCAACTCTTTATTCGAGATACGTGTATAAATCTACATAGTATATAACACATGAATTGTTTTAGATATTCTTGGAGGAGTAACTGACATTTCTCAAACCCAAAATAATGACATTTCTTAAACCCAAAATAATGCTGATAACAACAAGAGCAAAGTTATTTTTTTCAATTACTGATAATAGGTATGCTTCATATCCTTGAATATACATAATTGAATAGTTCATATTATTGCATTCACTAAACTCTCACATCAGCTTACTAATAATGTTAGGGTTAAATATACGTTGCCCCCTATCAATAGGGCGAGTTCTGTTTTTCCCTCCCTTAAGTATTTTTTTTTTTGTGATTCCACCCTTATAAAATAAAGATTCTATTTGCAGTACCCCCTATGTCATTGTTTGGCTGACTGGGCGTGCTCTATTTCGTTGTTTGGCTGACTGAGCGTGAGAATCTTGTTGAGTTGGATTGGGAATCTTGCTGAGTTAGATTGTTTTTGTTTAAAAATCAAAATTTTTGATTTGGTCCCAAGAAGGTTAAAACCACTTAACAATAAAACCAACACCACTTACCACTTGGTTGGTTGTATTTCATTGAACAATGATTATATAAAATTATATATAATGGAACTTTAGTCAATGTTAACTGATTTATAACCGTATTAAAAAATGATATATCCATAACTAGTTTTATAATTAGTTTATATTTAATTTGTTAAAGATATTTTTTCATAAAAATATTATTGTCTACAAAAATTTAAATAATCATATTTTTAATTTTTCAAAAAAAACTTTTTCTTAAAAATAAAAAATAACGTATTTTTCAGAAAAAAATTAATTGGTATGCACTGACGGTGTAAAGCAGTTTTACACTGTCATTGAATCATGACCGTTAAATATTTATTAAAAGTTGACTTTTATATTAATTGTTTCTAAAGTAATTTTTGTGAATGGTTGTGATGCACTGACTGGGTAAAGAATTGACAATGCATAGTAATTAATCTCTTTTTAGAAAAATATTCTTTCCCCAAAATTTTTTTAAAAAAAGTTTTTTTTTAGTTTTTGTAAAAAAATACTTTCTTTTCAAAATAAAAAAAAGTCGTATTATATGTTTTTCTAAATGATATTTCAGTAAAATATATTAAAATATAGAGAATAATTTTTATACACTGTCAGTGTAAATTTTTTTTACACAATCAACCAATAGAAAGTTAACGATTTACCATGCCATTAAAAATATTAAAGTAAAAGTAAGGTATAATTGGATAAATAGTTGTGATTGTTTGACAATGTAAAACTATTTTACAATGTCAGTGCATCACTTGTTTTCTTAAAATATATTAGTAATAATTAAATAATAATTTTTGTTTATTATATGTTTTGATGCAACATATGTTTTGATGTAATAACAACGTTACCAGCAACATAAATGTTTTGATGCAATAGAAATGTTACCAGTAAAAAATAGATATTATATGTTTTGATACAATCATTGTTCAACAAAATGCAACCAGACAAGTGGTAAGTGGTGTTGGTTTTATTGTTGAGATCCCTGGTTTGAACCTTTCCGGGACCAAATAAAAAATTTTGATTTTTAAAAAACAATCCAACTCAGCAAGATTCTCAATCCAACTCAACAAGATTCTCACGCCCAGTCAATCAAACAACGAAATAGAGCACACCCAATCAGCCAAACAATGACATAGGGGGTACTGCAAACAGAATCTTTATTTTATAAGGGTGGAATCACAAAAAAAAAAACACTTAAGGGGGAAAAAACAAAACTCGTCCTATTGGTAGGGGGCAACGTATATTTAACCCATAATGTTAATATGTTTTTCAAAACAACAGATCTGAAGTACAATGTACTCTGTGTGAGGGCAAGGTTCCTTCAATAAGGGTTTCAATGATGTCAAAACTTTCCACTATATGTTGGAAATGTTGCTAGATGATATGGTGGACAAGGAAGCATGAAAAGTCTTAAGGAATTGGTATTTTTGGAAATCTCTATGCTTTGAGTCGACTCAAAGTAAGCTCCGGTCGACGCATGATTGAAAGTTGCTCCTTTGGGAAGTCTCGGGTTTGCTCACGTCGACTGTGTCGTCGACTCAACCTGAGAGTAATTTTTAGGAACTATGCATCGACGCATAGCCCTGGAGATGTCGACGCATGGATTGAAAGTTGCGCCTTGGGGAAGTCTCGGGTTTACTCACGTCGACTGTGTGGTCGACTCAACCTGGGAGTAATTTTTAGGAACTATGCATCGACGCACAACCCTGGAGCGATCGATGCATGGATCATGCACATTGTCTTATGGCACTCTCAGGAATGCTCAGGTCGAGTCCCCCTTTTGGCATAGGTCGGTCGTTCACTCGTTAAATCTGTTTTTCAGCTTGTTAGTTTTGGTTTTGACTTGAGATAACATATATAATCTTGTAAGGTTCTATCTTTTTTTTCAACAAGAAAAGTGAAGTAGATACACAAGGTACTCATCATCTTCAACCTCTCACTCATCCATTGACAACTACACATAATATTTTTTGTTGATCAAGGTGCAGAGCGTGTGTTGATAACGTCTGAAGTAGAAGATTACGATCTTGTTCGGGTTGAGTAATTGTGGGTTTTTCTTGAATAAAATCTAAGGGTTTTGTCCTCCAAGATCATTGGGATTTGGGGGGGTTTTGATAATTCTTTGCTTCATCCAAATTCAGTCGTGCTTAAGGGATTGAGGAACTGTGAGTTCGCTCGACAAGGTAGCTACAATCGGAGGAATCTTCACTTTGGATGTGCCTTCATGGGTTGTCTTGATAATTTCCCTAGCATAATTGGCTAAAGTACAAGAATTTATTAACCTGAAAATGTTCTTGTCCACTCCATTGAATAGAGCATTCAAAGCTTTGGAATTTCCAAGAGCTAATTTATCATCTTCTTCAGACCAATATTCCTTTGGCTTAAAGAACTCATTCTCATCTTTGTCCTTCACCACAAGATGACTCCATCCTTTCAAAATAGTCTTCCAAGATTTATTGTCAATGGATTTTAGAAAAGCCACCATTCTAACCTTCCACCAGTCATAATTTGAACCATCTAACAGAGCTGGTCTGTTGTTGTATCCTCCTTCCTTGTCCATAGTACCCAAAATTATTCTCCCTATAGCTCACCCAAAAAACATAACAGGGTACCTTCTCTGATGCCAATTGAAATTTTGGAACTTTAAAAATAGATGTCAAGACTGATGTCCCAACACCAAAACACAACTCCAGACATATTGTAA